CAACCCAGCTTGGTGAAGGATTAGTTAAGGAAGGAAAGGCAGCAGAAGAGTCCAAGAATCCTGCTAGGTTTTTAGGCTTTATTGCTGGCTGGGTGGTGATGTCAGTTACCACAGGGTTGGAGGTGGGGCATGCAGGAAGGTCAAATTCTGTTTGGATTTATTGAGTTTGTAGTATCATTAAGATAGCTAAGTTATGGCCGAACGCTCTGTCTCACACCTGTAATCCCAGCACTTCGTGAGGCTGAGGTGGGCAGATCATGAGGTCAAGAGATTGAGACCATCCTGGCCAACACCCCATCTCTACTAAAAATACAAAAATTAGGTTGAGGCAGGAGAATCGCTTGAACTTGGGAGGCGGAATGGCAGTGAGCCAAGATTGCGCCACTGCACTCCAGCCTGGCAACAGAGCAAGACTGCATCTCAAAAAAAAAAAAAAAAAGACAGCTAAGTACTTGGAAATATAGGTCTGGAGCTCAATGGTAAGGGTTGGATATGAATTTAGGAGTCATTTACTCAGTTAACAGACTTCATGAGGATGAAAAGAAAATGAGAACAGGCCGGCGCAGTGGCTCAAGCCTGTCATCCCAGCACTTTGGGAGGCCGAGCCGGGTGGATCACGAGGTCAAGAGATCGAGACCATCCTGGTCAACATGGTGAAACCCCGTCTCTACTAAAAATACAAAAAAATTAGCTGGGCATGGTGGCGCGTGCCTGTAATCCCAGCTACTCGGGAGTCTGAGGCAGGAGAATTGCCTGAACCCAGGAAGCGGAGGTTGCGGTGAGCCGAGATTGCGCCATTGTACTCCAACCTGGGTAACAAGAGCGAAACTCCGTCTCAAAAAAAAAAAAAAATGAGAACAAGAGGAAATGACTTTAGGAGTCATTCACATATAGATGGTTAATTAAAGCCACAGAGGCTTTAGGCCCTAGAGCAGGTGTACACTACAGAATTCTGCCCTTTTTGGTGCTTACATTTCAGTGAGGGAGATGGAAAATGAAGAAATAAGACAATTTTACGGAGTGGTTAAATTTTATGATGAAAATATAGCAAGACAAGCATAGAGAGAAACAGGATGGGTTTGGGAGTTGTGACAGCTGTTTTTGGATAGGATAATCGGGTAAGGCCTCACATTTGGTCAGAGACTAGGCAAAGATGCAGGGGAAAGAGCATGCCAGGCACAGGAAATAAGTGTTAACAGCCTCGAGCGGGGCATGAGCTTGGTGTAACTAAGAAAAAGGAATGGCCTGGCAATGGTGGCTCATGACTGTTGTAATCTAGCAGTTAGTGGGAGGCCAAAATAGGAGGATCGCTGGAGGCCAGGAGTTTGAGACCAGCCTGGGCAAAACTGCAAGACCCTGTCTCTAAAAAAAACTTTTTTTTAATTAGCTGGTCATGGTGGTGCACACCTGCAGTCCCAGCTACTGGGGAAGCTGGGACAGGAGGATCACTTGAGCCCAGGACTTGGGGGCTGCTATGAGCTATGACTGTGCTACTGCACTCCAGCCTGGACCACAGAGTGAGACCCTAATATAAACAAAGGAGGGCCTGGGTTTGAGCACTGATGCAACATTTCCTGGCCAGGTAAGAAAATGAAAGTGTGAGAGATACAGGAGACAGAGGAACACATCAGAACACAGAAGGAAGTCTAGGATTTGTGGTCTCAATAGGAAAATATTCATGACCACTAAACTTAGAGAGGTTGTTAGTGACCTTCAAGAAGGCTTTTAGTGAAATGATAGGAGCAGAAACCAGATTGGAAGACTATAAGGGGAAGTGAGAACATTTCTGGAGAGTAAAAATGTTGGCAAGGCAGCGGTTGGAATGTGAGCTTCATCATGGGATGGACATGAGCATGTGAAGGGCATGAAGACCCCAGTGAACACATGGAGAGAGAATGGGTCATGGGGTAAAAGCTATGAGAGGGCAGGAAAGGAAGGATCCTGAGCACCAGAGAAGGAACCAGAGTAAGAAGGGAGACAGATCTCTCTCATAGTTTGGAAGCAGCAATTTGAGGGCATTTTCCTGTATCTCTGATTTTCTTTTTCTACTAGTAGGCAAAGTCCTCAGTTGAGTAAGAAAGGGGGTTAAGATTTGAAATCAGAAAAGCTCTTAAATATTTGGGAAAGGTAGCGGCACATGACAGCTCACTTTTGTAATCCCAGCACTTTGGGAGGCTGAGGCAGGAGGATAAGGCCAGCACGGACAACACAGTGAGACCTCATCTATACAAAAAATTAGGCACTGTGGTGGCACACGCGTGTAATCCTAGCTACTCCAGGGGCTGAGGCGGGGGCTCACTTGAACTCAGAAGGCTGAGAGTACAGTGAGCTATGATCGCACCACTACACTCTAGCCTGGGCAACACTGTGAGACCTTGCCTCTAAAATAATAATTCAGAAAGAAGTGGTGGAGTTGATCAGAGGAACACAGGAAGCCTGCTGGGCAGTGTCACGGTCTCACTGGGGGGTAGGTTTGCATGAGTCCCTGTAGTGACTTTTTTCCCAGCAACGCTCAGCTGCTTCTGGGTGCTGTGGGAAAACAGAAAATAAGTTCTTCCAAACTGGGAATGTGGTCAGATAGGTAAGAAAACAGAGCAGCAAGGTAAAGTATGGGTGTTGGCAACCACGTGACTGATATTACAGGCTACAGAATCTAAACTGGATCCAGAGGTTGATGATTGATGATGTCAAAACATAGCCAGAGGAGTGGGAGCCAGTTGGGACAGGTGGTCATGGACCAGGGTGCTGAAATTAGTGACTGTGCAGGGGAGCAATTTTGGGTGGGCTGGAGGAAGGAGTTGAGAAGCCCAGGTTATATAGGTGGATTTTCCATGTGGACACTGAAGTCACCCAAGATGATGGCAGGACATATCTGCGGTGAGGAAAACTAGGTCAGATGCTAACATCTTCACCACCACCTTTAATTCTACTTAACCATTTATAAAGTTTTTAAAATAATTCAAATTTAGGCCGGGTGCAGTGGCTCACGCTTATAATCCCAGCACTTTGGGAGGCCGAGACAGGTGGATCATGAGGTCAAGAGACCGAGACCATCCTGGTCAACAAGGTGAAACCCTGTCTCTACTAAAAATACAAAAATTAGCTGGGCATGATGGTGCACGCCTGTAGTCCCAGCTACTCGGGAGGCTGAGGCAGGAGAATTGCTTGAACCCAGAAGGCAGAGGTTGTGGTGAGCCGAGATCGTGCCATGTCCCCAGCCTGGGTAACAACAGCAAAACTCCGTCTCAACAAAAAAAAAAATTAAAACAAACAAACAAATAATTCAAATTTAAAACAAAGCTTTTGAAAACAAAGATCTTTATAATCTCTGCAGTATCTCTATTCCTCAGTAAGAGCACCTACCTGTGACAGGTAGGCCCTCCGTGTTTCTGAACATCTGCTGCCTCTTTTCTCCCTGTTGTTCAAGGTTTACTTCTTTTGTGATCAAAGAATGGGATGGCATATGGCCTACCACTTTATACAACAGGACTTTTTAAAGACATTTTCTCAGAAATCCAGGTATTTTTCAGCAGAGTCATTTGGGCATAATTTTTTTGTTTCTTTGAAATGGAGTCTCACTCTGTAGCCCAGGCTGAAGTCCAATGGTGCGATCTCGGCTCACTGCAACCTCCGCCTCCTGGGTTGAAACGATTCTCCTGCTTCAGCCTCCTGAGTAGCTGGGGTTGCAGGCGTGCACCACTGCACCCAGCAAATTTTTGTATTTTTAGTAGAGATGAAGTTTTTCACCATGTTGGCTTGGCTGGTCTTGAACTCCTGACCTCCAGTGATCTGCCCACCTTGGCATCCTAAAATACTGGAATTACAGGCATGAGCACTGTGCCCGGCCTTGGTATAACTTTTGAATCCAATCTGGTTTCCTAGTTTGGTTTCACCTTTGACAATGAGTTTCAGTTAACAGAATGCATATACATCACATGCTTGGGAATAGTGCTCAGCTTATAATAAGAAACCTCTATTGGCTAATTATTCTGAGTCAGTTGGGAGCAGTGGCTCATGCCTGTAATCCCAGCACTTTGGGAGGCTGAGGCAGGCAGATCACCTGAGATCAAGAGTTTGAAACCAGCTTGGCCAACATGGTGAAATTCTCTACTAAAAACGCAAAAACTAGCCAGATATGGTGGCATGTGCCTGTAGTTCCAGCTACTCAGGAGGCTGAGGCAAGAAAATTGCTTGAACCCGGGAGACAGACGTTGTAGTGAGCCAAGACTGCACCACTGCACTCTAGTCTGGGTGAGAGAGTGAGACTCTCTCTCAAAAAAAAAAAAAAATAATAATAATAATTCTGAGCCTCAGCTTCCTAATGATCTTTCTCACAGCATTGTGAGAATAAAATCAGATACAAAAGTACCTGGAAATGAGCAAATATTAGTTCCTGTCCATTCTTCCTCTTTGCCATTCTAGAGTTGCTTCACAATCGCTTATCTAACAGTCTCTGTTTGAACAGCTAACCACAAATAAATCAGAGCTGGGGAAAACCTAGCCCAATGGTTATGGTTATCATGCTCCTCCACAGTGTTGCGGCACCCGAAGCAGGGCAGAGGGGCACTCCGTGTGGCATTTGCTGGACAAAGCTAATCCGTGGGTTATCATCCCTGGGCACTGCAGCAGTGGGGTGCAGCAGAACTCTAGGCAGCTGTCTTCTCTCTTCTCCTGCTCTCATTCCAAATGCAAATTAGGATTAAACAAGACAACAGCCAAAGGTAGAAGGAGAACATCAGCTTCTTTTAAAGAATTTGAAGGTGCACTGTGGCAGAACCACGTTCAGCACTGGGGCAGGTGGCGAGCAGCACAAACCAACCTGAGAACCCTAACAACAAAACATGACAAGACAGACACATTTGCGGCCCAAATTCAAATGTTGAATTTCTGACAGCGTTTACATGTGGAGCAGGGAGAGAAGAATTGGAAAACAATATATAAACAGTCAACAAATGAGCAAATTAAACTGGCAGAACAAAACAGGAAACCACAATAGTAAATGCTTAGCAGCCAAACACATTTATTAGTCTTTTTTCTTTTTTTTTTTTCCAGGAACCCAAAAATATTTTGTAGTTATAATGTAAGCAACTGAGTTGCACATAATACAATCATATCTTTCCAAAATAAAATAAAATAAAAAAACTAAACAAAAACGAAAATAAGCTGTTTAAAAGCCCAAAAAAACCCTTCAGAAAACTCTTATATATGCATTACATCATCTCTCAGTTTTAATGAAATGACGACGACTTAATTCCTTATTACTCAACCTGTCACAATCCAATAAAACACCACCCTTTAGTTTTTTTTTGTTTTTGATAATTTTTTTTTTTTTGAAATCCAGCATGAGAAATACAGTACCTGCTATGGCAAAAAATACACATAAAATGCAACTTTTCAGCTTATTTGTACATTAGTAGAGTTTAACATTTTATTGTTTGTTTAAGTGAACCAGTGATTTTAAGTACCACTATACTAAAAAGGAAAATAAAATATAGAAAAGGGGGGCCCAGCCTGCCATGCAAGTGCACCTCTAAAGTGCCTAGTTTCTGTGTCCATGTAAAACCAGTAATATGAGGAACAATTTCAATGTATGGGAGTTCGATTCAACCTCTATGTTAAAAAAAAAAAAAAGGACAATGCCACATTCTCCCTTTTCTCCCCCCATGCATCCTTAAATCCCATCATCTACCTTCTCGATTGCCCATCAGAGAAAAGAAAGCCACCAAAATAATATCGTAAAAGCGATTTCAAGTATAAGAAAAAAACAAAACACTTATAGGTAACTTGCAGAGAGCATCAATATGTGCAGCTGATTAGTCATTTTTACAGGTTTTGTTTCTGCGGACAGTGTTTCAGATGAGAGGATTTTTGCTGTACCTTCCTGTTACCTGTTTGTGTGCAAAGTTGGAAAGCTGCCTTTTAAAAAAATCCAGCCTCTTTTTGATGCCCTTTTCTGCACCTTCTGTCTAAAGGGGGCGAAGAGAGACATGAAGGGAGGAGGGGAGGAGGAAGGGAACCACAAATCACAAATAATTAAAATGGTACTTCTCTACCTGTCCTCCTCTGCTACACCCCTCAGGTCCTCTTGCGTCTCTGTGAAGTGACTCCCAATATTCACTGTTTCCTGATTTGGTAGGATGTATTTTACTATGTAAACATAGCCCCCTAGGATTATGGAACCCAAAGCAGCATTTATATCTCCATCTAAATGGAGACAGATAAAATAGTCCAGAAACTTCTCCTCAGGTTGCTTTTGTTGTCTGTTTTTTGGTTACGCAAAACAGGGATGAGGTGGGAGGGGCGTGGGCACAGAATGTGAAGTTATAAGCACATAGTGGAGAGTTAGGAGTGGGCACAGTTGAGCTGTTTTATCTGCTTTTTATTTTTTTCCTCCCAGAAGGATTTTTTTTTTTTTTAAAACCTGTTAAAAATGTTCCTGCACCTTAAGTCACACTGAGATTAAGGCCAAGGGTGCAGAATCTTGTGCACGTGTCTCAGCACATTCATGGTGCATGCACCATTTTTGATGTCTTCTGTGAGATCACTGCATACACTTTGGTCACTGGTGTGTGCAAACGGTGGTGGTGGGGGGAGTGTCCCAGGAAAGAAGTGCAGAGATCAGCAAAGCCCTTTAGGAGCATTGTATAAGAGATGTAAGGGCAGGCAGAACCCATGAGGGATCAGAGGGAGACTGATAGAAAAAGGGCCTCCAGATAAACAAAATAAATAAAAGTCCAAGGTCGGCAGTGCCCAGATCAGAAGGAGGCGGATAATATGCATGCACTTATAATCAAGCTTCTTCCTTCAAAGGAAGTCGTCAGTCACTATACAAGGTCAGTGAGATCCAACTGAAAAGGGCTTCTTGACTAGTAAAGGGTTTATCTTAAAGATGGGGGCGAAGGGGGTGTCTGCAAAGAAGCAGTTCAAAATGATCCATTCCAACCCTGCCTCACAGATGCCCAGATCTAGGCAAGCACTAGCTGACAGATCCACACGAGCAGCATTTGTTAAAAGCATTTCCCTCCACTTAACGTCAGCTTTGAGCCTCACGGAGGGGGAAGCGCTGAGGATGCACATGGCTTTCAAGGTGGTTTGCACATCTCCTTACACAAGTTTCCTCCTAAGTAAGAAATCAGTACATTTCCAGATCATCACAAAGTGACAAGGCTATGGATTCTAAAGCACAAACCAAAATTCCAGGGACTAAATCCCTCTGTGAACTACAAAATGATACTGAGTTACTCAAGGGATGTTTATGTGTGTGTCTGAACCAAGAAAGGTTAAGACCTCCAGGTCTTGTGTGGAGAACATTCTGGAGTCTCTGGAGGGGATGGATCTTCTGGAAGAGAGAAATGACACTCCTTGCCCTGGCACTAGATTGCTGGAAGAGATGGCAGCTATTTAAGACAGGGTTTTTTTTTTAACTTTATTTTTTTGAGTCGAAGTCTCGCTCTGTCACCCATGCTGGAGTGCAGTGGTGTGATCTCAGCTCACCGCAGCCTCCGTCTCCCAGGTTCAAGCAATTTTCCTGCCTCAGCCTCCAGAGCAGCTGGGACCACAGGCACACGCCACTGTGTCTGGCTAATTTTTGTATTTTTAGTAGAGACGGCGTTTTACCATGTTGGTCAGGCTGGTCTTGAATTCCTGACCTCAGGTGATCCACCCGCCTTGGCCTCGACAGGGTTTAGATACTGGTCTGCTGTCACTATGTGGGAGGCAATCGAGAGAACACCCTCTACCACAAGTGCAAACCCACTCCCCCGACCAGCTTTGCTCTTTCTTCTTCAACATGAAAGAGAAAGATCTGAAACTTCTGATGGCTTAAAAACAAAACAACAACAACAACAACAAAAAGAAAACGTATTTTACGGTTACTTTCACAGCAAAGAAAAAGTTTTTTAAAGTTATCCTGCTATTTACATGTTCATATTTTAAAAAGGATAATCCGCTGATGTCAGAAGGGAGAGAGGAGTTAAGGGTTTACATTGCAGGGGGAAATGTACCTCGAGGTATTATTTTGTGTGAGACAGTTGAAAAGTCAGGATTTTATTTTATTTTTTTGTCTTTTGTTTAAAGGCAATCTAACAGATTGGAACCCTGATAAGATCATGCCTGGGCAGCCACGCACAGGCACGAGGAGACTGTGATCAAGTCTGTTACTCGTTACAGTACTGTGAACGTCAACAACAAGAACTGCTGCATGGAAAACACTGAATATAGGCGGAACAATCTCTCACTTACGATACTGTGTTGCAAATAATGCCTAGACCAGAGCAATGCAGGTGCCTTATTTATCACAGGCAAGGTCAACAAAGGAATTGTTAGGATGAAGAAGAGACTGCATGCAGGCCTCCCCTGTCGAACACTCACAGCTCACTGGCTTCATACAGCCTGCCAGATGCAAGGGAAGCAGAGAGAGCGATGGTGGGTAGGGAAGAGGAAACTTTCTTGCCTGCCAAGCAACAGCCCTCTTCTCCACAGAGCAGGGCAGTTTCTTGTAACTAATAAAAATGATTACAACGGAAGAAAGAAATATTTAAAAAAAGAGAGAGGAGGAGGAGTTTTTCAAAATTGACCTAAAGATGAACTTTCAGGTCAGCACAAGTGAGGCTTGGTTTCCTGAGTGCGAAGGGTTCTGAGTTCAGGACAGAATGAGTACTTTTTCCAGAGAACACTGGAGCCTGTGGACTTCCACTGCTGCCCTGGATTAACACTGCACGGCTAGGATCAAGAATCCTGAGCCACAATGGTGGACAGGAACTGCAGGTCCCCTGGAATTTAACCTGGCCATCAGACCTGCCCGCAACACTGGCAAGAGGACTCGGAGGTCTCTCTCTACCTCGCTGTGCTGACCTTACCACATAGTCTCTTGCTCCCCTTCCCCTCCAGGACACGGGGACACCATGGACACAGAAACTGGAGAACAGGATACAAAGCCACTCCCTTCCCCTTTCTGCCCTCTCCTCCCCCCCACTTTTGAAGAATGCATAGTTACAAATTCACCTTACAACATAAAGAAGCGACGATGACCGCATGTGGGACTTGTTTTTTTTTTTTTGAAAACAGAAAATCCAACCTCTTCTTAAATTCAGTATCAAAATTCACATTTGCATAATAATACAATTCAAGGCCATGAGAGAGGAATTAGAGCAAAGCACAGAAGCAGCATCTCTCCTCCCTGTGTCTTCCTGAATGAAGCTGAAGGAATCGAGTGGGAGGGACTGGTCTTCCTCTTTGGGGGAGTTCTGAGGAATCATGGAAATGGCCCTTAGCATTTGCTTGGTATTTCTTTAGAAGATAGGAGTCGGGAGAAGAGGTGATATTGTTTAAAACATAAAAACAAATGAAGAAACACTGCAGACTTCTGCGTTAAACTATCATAGCTCTGAAGAAATAAAACATGATTGCAGATTTTTCTCATTTCTCAAGTGCTTCAATCTTAACTCTTCAAAACCCTTTTCCTTGTGTGTTATACCCTGTTTGCATCAACAGCAACATGACATGACATGACGCCCATATGGGAACAGAATGGCCGCCTCAGGATACAGACTCAAAGGGTAAAAGTGTGCTGCCCGCTCTGCACACGGCAGAAGCTGGAAAATGCCTCATGAATGTGTCACAAGTATCACCATATTCCAATTCTCCAGTGCTTACAGAAAAACAAATAATAAAACAGCCACAGCCACATGAGCACAAACATACACACAGAGAAAACTAGGGAATGCAGATGTTGTATAAACCTGCGCTCTTGGACTAACATGGGTCTGCAGCACCTGTGTACCGTCCCCTAACTGTCTCCTCCCCCCAGTCCCAGAATCTCTTCCACACAATGTACACTGTGTTATATTGATGCTAATGAAATCTCAACAGCTGCCCCTGGGACTTTCCAGGAGAAACTGTGACTTCCCTAAAGACTTAAGCTGACCATCTTTACGTTTGTATCCAATGGATAGCCTCTTCTGAAAACAGTCAGTCTCTGTACTCACAAAGGCACATTCAGAAATACTATACTTAAGTAATTCCTTAGACAAAACTAAAAAAGGGGGGTGGATGGTGTTTTAAACACATGTGTTCTATCTTATCCCCAAATTTCTGGCAAGAGGTGTCACACTAAAATGCATCACTTGGTGAGAGATTATACTACCTTTAAAAGGTAGGTCACTTCTGAAAGGGTTCCAAAGGTTTTTATTTTGTTTTGCATAAATACCCACCTTTTCCACTTTTGGCGAACACACATAGGATATACTGTCCTCCTCTCTGTAAAGCTCTGCTGTGGGGCTAGTCCTGGCAGTAAGGCCGCTCCACCTCGCCTCTAGTCAACTTTTACACCCACCCCTCTGGGAGCTGTGCACACCTTTCAGTAGCCAAAGGAGAAGGAATGCCAGATTCTGGAGGGCAGGAGGGAAAGAAAAGCACTTCCTTTCACAGCTCTGCTACAACAGCATCATAAGCCACCTCGACAACTTTCTTTTGCTGCTCACTGTGAGCGGTAAAGAGAAATTTCCCTTTCTGAAAACAACAACAACTACAAAAAAAACCCATCCCAACTTATACACATATATATATTTTAATCATTCTTGCCTTTGAAACTTACTGATATTGGCTAGACATGGGTCAAGTACAATTGGGAATTTATTTCCAAAGCAATGATTTATAGTTTGAAAACGAAGCTGAGGCCCCAAGTGCTTTAAATGGACACTATTTCTTTTTTTATTTAACACAGAATTCTCTTTACCTGTTTATCTGGTCATTCCCCTCCCATGAACAAAACAAGCATTGGTCACAGTGAAGAACTGGTGACTGAGCTTTGCAAAGACCCCTTGGCCAAGGTACTATCTATCCTGGCCATGTACAGTTTCTCGTTAAAAACAAATTCAGGTATATAGCTAATTAAAGAGGGAACGATTTAAATTGTGTGAGGCAAACACTGGCAGATTCTGCAACTTTCGTTACTTTTTTGGGTGGTGGCAGGAGGTTGCTACAAGAGACTGACAGCTTAAAAAGTACTCATGTTAGGGGTATGCCACAATCACTAGGAATCTGGTCCCAGTGGCCACATGCATGAGGGCAGTGTGGGTGCTGAGCTGCTGGAGGAGTAGCTCTCCACTCCCTGCCCAGTGTTCCCCCTTTACCACCCCATAGATGCCCCTTTCTTCAGAGGCATGGGGTAGGGAGGGATGGTGAGCAGGTGAGGGAGGGTCGATGTTGAATTTTATTAAGTTATTACTATGTTTGCAGATTCTTGGAGCTGTATTATTTCAAGTCTAAAGAATGTAATATTACCACCCTCTTTGTCAAATTTAAGATCAAGAAAAAAAAAACCAGTATCATTGACACGTAGGGACCATTTCTGAAAATACACACACCCTTGGCCCTGGCCATAGACCATATCACAGGGTGTGCACCAACTCTGGAAATCTAGATAATATTCTGTTTTCTTACAGAATGACGATGTCCTCAACAGCATTATGTATATTTATGTGCTTCTTGACTCCCTGGCAGGACTCCCTGTAGTTGCAGACAAAGAAGGGGGTAGGATGTGGTGTGCGGAAGGGGTTGTGGGTCCCTATTTTCTCAATGACCATGAGGTCTGAAGACTAACAATTCATTGTGTACACAGAGGCTAGAATATTTTCATCTGCATTATCACGTGGCCGTAGTTGTACACACACAGGAGGAAAAACACAACTAAAGAACAAGGATTTTTTTTTTTGCAGTAACACTAAGAGGTGTAGTTAATGCATACACATGAAGTGTGATAAAACTTGGCAAAAACACTGGAGAGAAAAATTTGATTTTTTTTAACCAGCTAAAAACTTATCTAACTTCTGAAGACCTTATAGATACTTAAAAACAAAACCAAAAATCTCAAATCTAAAACAATTACCTATAAAGCTTTAAATGTTGAATTTTAACTCTGAAGATGGGGAAAAAAGGGATCTTTTCTATGTAAAGACTCAATTGTTCCCTAATCTTACAGATGGCTATTACAGCCAAGTTCGCTGAATACATCCTGTTTACTCTGCAGGGAAAAACAGGCTTGGCATAAGCATTTTGCTCAGCATGCAGACATTTTCTTTGTTTTAGAGACGAGGCAAGATGGCAGAATATAAAACATGAAATTAAAAAGTACACAGCATTTGAGGTCAAATGGAATCTGGCTGTTTACCCTACAAAAATCACAACCCCCTCCAAAATAAGTAGTAAAAATGAGTGAATATTTGCAAAAAGTTAACAGCTCATGAACTTTAAGTTTCTGCGAGATATATGTATTAATAAAGGTGCTTCCAAATGCTCAGGCAGGAGTTTTATCTTCTCCTTTCTTTTTCCTCTTGTGTATCTTAAATGCCATAATCAACCCACAGAAGTTTGGAAGAACCAATTGCTAACTTATGCTACATTCATGTCAGAGGGGTGGGAAAATTCTTAGAACAGGAGCCATACTACTAGAAAATCAAATTGCTATAAATAAAACTAACTGGCAATAGATGGATAATGGTTTATTGCGGGGACACTGATTAAGTAATTTGGTTTGGAACCTTAATTTGCAACATTGCTTAGTTAACTCCTGTGAATGTTGCAAATGAAACATGTCCAGGGATAGGGACTGAGGGACCAGAGATGTTCCATGAGCCATCCATTTCTTCACACTGTCTCAGAGAGCTGAACTTTTTTCAACCCCTAAAGTTAGGTCGCGGCACTGGATCTAACTGACAGTAGGGGTCCTCTATCTGATGTGAGACACCCCTTTCACTATCAGTGCTTCTTTTCTTTTGGTTACTCATGTGATAGGTAGAAAGGAAGTTTATGATGTTCAAGGGTTGTACCCATCTCTAGCCACTAGTCATCAAGTGTTTTAAAAAGAACTAGTGAAAAAAACAAAAAAAAGAGAAAGCTCAAATTAACATAATCAAAATGTTTTAAAAATAAATCTGTGTAATGAGAGGTGACCAGCAAGCCTGTATCTATGCCAGAGTGTGGTGGAAGAGAAGGCACTCTCACTGAATTTTCTAAGTGTACTGAAGTCACCTAACCTCTTAGTAGACATGGCTCTTGCCAAAGAATACCAGGGAAAGAGCTTCTCTCTCTCATGATATCCTCACCATATCCTGTTCTTAGGTCACTGCCAACCAACAAAGCAAAGCTCCCAGCAAGCTGACAAAAAGAAGGGGGAGGTCTGGGGGGAAAGGGGAGGAGGCAAAGGACAAGAGCAGAACAACAGGAACCCCTTTCTATTGGCCCAACATGAAGAGACTTTCCAAATCACTGCGGTTGTCACAATTACACACCCGGAGAAGTCAATGCACGGTAATGGAGGGCGCACGACACAAGGAAGGAACTTGGCATTCTACATTATTGAGACATAAAAGCCTATTTAGCTTACTTGACATTTGTTTGTTTATTTTAAATTTAGCCCACTGCCTTTGGGGCCTGTCCAGAACCACTCCAATTTCCTTTCCTTACATTTGTGGAGTGACTGGACCACACGAACACATGCATGCGTCCCCCGCTGCTCAGGGTGTCTGGGTGTATGTACGAAGGCACTAAAGCGGTTTTAGAGAAATTGCAGGCAGCAACCCCACCCACTCCCTTTACCTGTCGAGCTGGAGTTTCTTTCCCACTGGGAAGCTTAATGTTTAAAAGAAGCTGTGGTCATGCTTGGGAATTCTGACCCCTGGCCCCAGGAGGGAATACAAAAGAATTCAACATCACCAAAAACTGAAAGGAAACACTCCACATCTCCGGCTAAGGGATGGGGATAATTAAGCAGCAGATCTTCAAAACAGCAATTAAAACGAGCACAACAGTAGCTGGGAGCTAAAAAAGTAAAATCGCTTGTTCCTTATTAGATTCTTCTATATTTTCTCCTCCTCCCATAACAAACGGAGGTAAGACAGACATTCTTCATTAATAGAACAGTCCATAGATAATTTTCCTCTAGTAATGCCTATATTTAAAATTTGTTCCAAAAATTATTAACCTATATTTCCTAACTCTTTACATAGATTCTCAGCAATCCAACTGTACTATTTTACAGATTAGAGTTACTTTTTTATTTTTAAGCTGTTTTTTCTTCCTTCCTTCCTTTCATTCTTTAGTTGCTGGGGTTGTGGGGACAGGGAGAAGGGTTCCTTTAAAAAAATAAAAATTACTAGTGGGTATTTCAGTTCAGTCTTAAATGGAAAGGAACAAAGTGATGGCATTCTCATCTATGTACACCAAACACTCTCCCATTAACTACACACAATTTCAAACGAATCCATGATTGAGCTCTTAAAAAGCTTAATCCTTCTCCCATATTTTTAAGATAATGAATTAACCTGTTGCTGCTAAATTGATAATTTTTAAAAAATATTTCTTTCTATGTGTTTTAAAATGTGTGACTCCCCAGTATGACAATAATGTTTGGAGACTTTTCTTTTTACATTTTTTTTAAGTAAAAATCGTTTAAACTTTGTGAAGTTTCAGGAACTTGTAAAAGTTTATTGACAGGAAAGAAACAGCCATCTATCTAGGATAAGATACGGTTAAATAAACCATCTTCAAAAAACTGGCTTCCTACCCTAGAATTCCTGAGAATGCTTGCAAATTTTAAAGCAGGAAAATAAATGTTAAAAACAGAAACAAAAAACACTGTTAAATGCTCCCAGAGTTAGTCTTCATCTAAAATATATATTTATATGTATATATATATGTGTATATATATATATACGCACTTTTTGGTCTTTTTTTTTTTTTTAAAGTTTTTAGTTTTTTCCCTTTAAGCTTATGATGGAAGAACATTTTAGCTTCTCATGTTTATTTTTACATATTTCAAATCCCTCATTATGTCTTGTAAACAAGAGGGGCTCTAGCACCCGGCTTTCACCGTAGTATCGTAAGGAACTCAACTAACCCATAGTGCAGGTCAAGGAACCAACAGGCAGGAGGAGAGGAGGGCAGGGCAGGACACAGCAGTGAACCAAGGGCGGCAGTGGACAGGGTCACCACTGGCTCTCGGGAGCCTGGGGACATGCTCCTGGCCCAGGGACACTATGATTTAGCCTTCTCTAGGTGTCTGACTACAAGCTGCTCTTCACCTGGTAGTCACTGCAGGACAGCACTATGCTCCACACAGAGAGCAGTCAGTGGGGGCTGCTGGAAGATCTTTTGTATGGGGAACAGTGGTGGAAGGGGCACGGTGGTGATTCAAATTGGAAAGCAGGAAGAGGGCATGCTCAAGGCACCCAGTGGGGCCGAGTCAACGCTGCAGATGCCAAGTGTGACCACCTACCCACAGAGGGCTCATGTAGGCTCATACACGTGAACGCTCACTTGAGTCATGCCTGTCAATCTCTTTTGAGGCTAGGTTTATAATTAACAGGGTAACCCAGAAGGGCTACAGAATTTCCCATTCTTTGTCTCACAAAACCACTGAAATGCAAATAACTTGTTTTAGGCTTTTCCTATACACACCCACTCACCCACCTACACACAGACACAAGCTAAGTCAAATACATTAGGCATTGTTATATCCTTCACTGAAGATGCTAAAGAAAGAAAAACTCCCTTGTCCTCAATAGCAGCAAGTTACAGAGGACAGTGGAGGTCTGCTCCCACCAAGGATTGGAATGGGCAGGTATTTGCTGGTACAAAATGTCGGCACTTTATGTTAAACAGTATAATGCAGACTGGGATGTCCACACAAGTGCTAGCAAATCGCCGGCATACATCCCCCAACCCCATCTGCTTTGTACCCCGCTTCGGGTCTGCTGTAATTCTCTTCACAATAAGCAGTTTGATACATTTTGATTCCAACATAAGTACATACATGTTGGTGGTAACTATGGATTCAACGCTGCCCCCTGTTCAGCCCAGAGTACTACTACATTGATGCTTAAAAAAAACACAAAAAACAGTTTTTAAATACCAAAATAAAAAAAGCAAAATTACAAGAGGGCCGGGGGGAAAGAGGTCAAAACCAAAAAAAAAGGTGCAATACTTAAAAGTCTTTGCTAAGTTATACCTGCCTAAGCAAAATCACATACACAGGAAATACACAACACAGAGAAACGAAAGGAAACGCTTGAAGTACACACTGGTTTAAGAACATTCGTTAAGTAAACGTTTCTGTCAGTGATGGCCTGGTGCTGTAACGCGCCGCGGCCTGGCACAGGTAACGCTCGGCGAGAGAGGAGCAGAGGGAGTAGCTGCAGATGCTTTCAGGAGGCTGCTCACCACTTATTCTTTTCTGTTTTCATAAAATGAAAAAGAGAAGCAACCAACAGAAATACTTAACTCAACTTCACTTAGTTTTTTGATGAATTTCTCAAACCTCTTCATAAGGAAAGAGGGAACATGGTTTTTCTGCTTTTGAGACATCGTATAACCAAAAACTATCTTCTGTTCCCATTCAAACTAACGAAAAGGCCTGCATGAAACTTAACAAATACTCAGATGTGCCTGGTGGCCATTCACTTTAAAAAAAACAGAAATAAACACACAGCTGCTCCACGAGGTACCACCTCCCGCTCTAGTTTTTTTGGACTTGGCAGTGCTCCACTCTACTGCTAGGTCAAAAGAACAGCCAGAGAAACCCCGCATTCAGGCTAAGTTGCAAATGGAAAGGAGCACCCTGCTTTCATCATTAAAAAGCGCTCTGTTCATCTTAGTGCAGCCCAATGGAGTTGTTTTAGGAGCAGTGGCTCTCTGGGCCTGTGTGTTCTCATAGTTAAAAAAAAAAAAGAAAGAAAAAGCAGATGGCCGGCCAGCCAGCCTGTGGACTGTCAGCGATGCAGCTTTCTGAGAAGTCAGGGTAGGGCGGCGGGAGAAGGGAGAAACACAGGCACACACACAGAGACAGAGAAGGATGCACGCGAATGCACATGAACACACGTGCACACACACCAGAACGAGCATGCCTGGGCAGTTACATGTGCCAGAACACACTGGTATTTATCAACCAGCCAATCACAAATTTTTTCCTTTTTTTTTTTTTTTTTTTTTTAGGTTTTTTGTGTTTTTGTTTTTAAAGTGAGGCTCCGTCAAGTCTTCCCTCCCCCCTCCCCCAACAATTCTTTTGAATTTCCCTCCCTCCCAAAACATGGTAGACCTAAGGACGGAAACACACCCAGTGCAAACAAAGTTAAAAAGCTATTTTTTTTTCAGTATATATGTTTCTTAGCAACAACTTCCATATAACATGAAAAAAGTGAAAAACTAGAAACTAATTTTTTTAATTTTTTTGTGTTTAAATTTAAATGGTATGTGTACTTGCTTCACATTGTCTTTCTAGGTTGGCGTTCATGATTCAAGTATTTCAAGAGTGATATGTTCTCTTTTTGGATTCATATTCCAAACGAAAAAACTGAAGTTATAAGGGAGGCAACTATGTGCTCAGACAGTCTGTCAATGACCCACCTTTTTTTCTCTCCGTTTTCTTTTTTCCTTTTAAAAATGTATTTATTGCAAGTTGAAAAAAAAAACGAAAAGGTCAAGTTAGTGCTGCTGCTGTTCCAAAAAAGGTCACGAGGTCAGAGTTGAAAGTTCTAAGTTCAGATTGAATCCGACCCTCCTCCCAGAAGGTCACCAGGTAGTAAAGGAGCAGGGCTGCCCATCCTATGGGGATCTTCCACCGTTGGGACTCCCCATAAGCTAGAAGAATAGTTTGGGGGCCCCCACAATGAAGCGCCAGCAAGATCGGCCCCGCTGCTGCCACCAGCGCTGCTGCTCCACTGCCCGAGCCCAGTGGACCCACCGAAAAGATTCAGAGCAGGTCCCACGGGATCCGACTGGTTCTGGCCAGTCTCCAGCGACTGCCACCCTGCGGCTGGCGCACTCGGGGTTGCTGCAGGTGTAGGGGGCTGAGCTTGTGCCAGAAAACGGCTGACTTCATCATCAGTGGCAAACTCAGCAAGGATGGTAGTGTTTCCCAACACACACCTGGAAGAAGGGAGGGAAAGAGAGCTATGGATCTGAGGAAAATCCTAAAGCACACGGAGGGAGTGCTCAGTCCTTGCCATTCAATGTGCGGTCCTTTGATTAGATACTGCCATATCCATAATGCTTTTTAGAATGCAGAGTTTGGGCTCCACCCAAGGCCTCTGGGTCCAGAACCCTGTATTCCAACCAGACTGCCAGGTAATTGAGAAGCAACAAGGCATCACCAAAGCTCAGGATAACCAAGGACTACTAGGGTATACCATATTCAGATATTTCTTGGTGTATGGGATTTATATAATCTAGACAACTTATCTATCCAGAAAAACATGTGTGTCTGTGGAGGGGTCAAGAGGGATGAACTGGAAGAGCACTCTGATACTGTAATGGTAGATACCTGCCATCATACATTTGTCTAAAACCATACACCGTACAAGGGCAAAGGTGAACTCTAATGTAAACTGCAGACTTTAGGTAGGAATAATGTGTTCAGCAATCGTGACAAGCACACCACTTTGGTGGAGGATGCTGACAGTGGTTGAGGCTATTCATGTGCGGCAGCAGGAGACATATGAGAAATCTTTGTATCTTCTTCTCCGTTTTGCTGCAGATCCTAAAACTGCTCAAAAACAAAATAAAGCCTTACATAAAAAGGAAAGAAAAATAGTCTCTTTTTCCCCCCATGTGAATTGTGAGGCGAAACTCATATCCAAAGCATCAAAGCAACCTGGCTTTGGCCCCAGGAAGTGCTGCTCTTTCTTGGGTGCTCCTCGTTGCCTGAGCCTCCCCATTCCTGGCTTGCAGTGAATCCGGCTTTCTGTCAGGGCATCTGCAGCCAAGTGCAGCCAGCTCTTCTCTGTCCACCAGTTTGACAGTGGCAGGGAAGGGGATGGCCAAGATCTGATCTAGTCCCACCTAATTTAAGCAAAGACCCTGCTACCCACCAAGACCGCAATATTTCATCATCTACAAAGAGGCTAGAGTAAGCAGCTAGATTCTATTATGAAAAACAATGGCGCTGATGTGAGCTTTGTTTTATGTTATGTAGAATTTACTCACTACTTCACAAATTATTTACATTTGGAATTCTGATGACTGGCCTCTGATATACACAGGACAATCCAAGCTTCGGTAGAAAGATCTGGCACCTGAGCACTCGAGACCTGCAGAGGCACGTGTGAGGTGCCATTCTCTATGTCTGTGCTTGTGCATCTTTAGTTTAGCAGCTGCCAGAATCCTCACGGGTGCATCTTCATGCATGTTTGTCTATGTGGGTGCAGGATGGAATACTCACATGTGCAGTGCAGTTTGGGCTTTGGCTGCCTCCTGTTTGGTGCTGTATCGGATCAGGGCAGTGCCCTGGGTTAGATTCAGATGGAATGTCAGCAGTGGGCCATGCTGCATGCAGATCGTTCTCAAGGTTGACCCATCAATCTAAGAAATAATGACATTCATGAGATAAGGACTGGAGGAGGGGTGAGAAAGGTAAATTTTAAGATATTCAAAGCACTGGCTGAGACCTAGTGTGCCCATTTTGCAAACAGTTTGCATAAATGCAGCTTAAAACTAAAGCATATTATTCAGCCTGTGGTCTGTTTCCTGTAGGACATAAACAGGTGGGAGTGTGTTAATTGTGGAGCCAAAAAAGGGCAGAAATGAGATGGCATCCACATAAGAATATCTGTCAACACTCGTAGCATCACTGCTCATCTTGAACATCTGATCATTTAAAATGCTGATGGCTGACCTAGTTCATTCACAGCCTATCCAACACTGTCTTACCCCTACTTTGCCCATCTCAAGGTGAGACTATTTCTGCCTACTTCTCTGACTAAGTCCTCTGCGGACATCAGGCATTTGGATCGAAGGCTGTACTCCTCACCCTAGTTAGACTTTCACCACTTAAGATCTTCAGTGATTAGGGACAATTTCCCTACCCTGCGAAGTTGAATGAATAAACTTATTCACTCTATTTGATTAATTTATTTTGCATTAAGATCTTAAATAGCTATTTAACATCAGTTCATCATTTCAGTTCATTTCTTTGGAAGATAAACAGATTACTATTGGATTGCTTAAAAAGCTGTGCTACTGGTGGCAGTGGCAGACACCCTGCAGGATGGAAACTGGCAGTTTCTTGGTCTTACTGACTCTTCTGTCACCCAGGCCGGAGAGGTGACTTGCTCTAATAACCTTTTAAGCTATGATAGAGATTAGTCTGCTCTTAGGAAGATTTGATTTTTAAAATTAATTCTAACACAAACACAGCCACCTCCATATTCATTTTATATGAATATATGTGTATACTTAACATTTTTCTTTTTTTTTTGAGACCAAGTTTTGTTGTTGTTATCCAGACTGGAGTGCAATGGCACGATCTCGGCTCACTGCAACCTCCCCCTCCTGGGTTCAAGCAATTCTCCTGCCTCAGCCTCCCGAGTAGCTGGGACTACAGGTGCGCACCACCATGCCCAGCTAATTTTTGTATTTTTAGTAGAGACGGGGTTTCACCTTGTTGACCAGGATGGTCTCGATCTCTTGACCTTGTGATCCACCCGCCTCGGCCTCCCAAAGTGCTGGGATTACAGGCGTGAGCCACTGTGCCCGGCCCCTTCTTTTCTTTTCTTTTTTTTTTTTTTTGAGACAGAGTCTCGCTTTGCCACCCAGGCTGGAGGGCAGTGGCATGATCTCAGCTCACTGCAGCCTCTATCTCCCGGGTTGAAGCGTTTCTCCTGCCTTAGTCTCCTGAGTAGCTGGAACTACAGGTGCCCGCCACCATACCCAGATAATTTTTGTATTTTTAGTAGAGATGGGGTTTTACCATGTTGGCCAGGTTGGTCTGTAACTCCTGACCTCAGGTGATCCACCTGCCTCGGCCTCCCAAAAGTGCTGGGGTTACAGGCATGAGCCACCAAATCCAGTTGGCACTTTTATAAGAAAGAACAAGTGAACAGCTGAATAGCTTTCCTAGGCTCCTTTCAAAACAGTGTATCCCTTATTGCTTCTCTCATTCTAATCATACCATAATCACCACATTGTGCGACAACTCGTAGGAAACAAAAGGCATACATAGTTTTAAGGATGATCATATAAAATTCTTTATACTTCGGTATTAGCTAAAGAAATAACTTGGAACTTTGAGCTGAGTTGATGAGATACAGAGATTAAGTGGTAAGCCACATCCTCCCACATGTTAACTGTGTGTAGGAAACTGTTTATCTCAATGTACACCTTGAAATAGGAGTCCTGTGATTTACTCCCTATGAATGGGCAAATGTATTTAAGACATGTATCTTCCTACAGAGAATCATAATATGTGTTAGCATATTAAAAGGTCTAAGAAGTCTCAAAGTGAAGAAATCTGCTTAATTTTGTTTAAGCAAGTATACATGTCAAACGTATTAGACCAGAGACTGAATATCTCATGGAACACTCTGGAAAATGTTGGCTTAATAAAATGTGCATGAATGAATTAAATGCCAGACAATGCATTTTACGTGTCAAAAACAGGACGCATGACTGACTCCTTTTAACAAGGTGTTGTGAGGGTGTTGTAAAGGTTTCGATGGGCCCATTTAACCTCATTCAAGTACTGAACACAATGCTTCTGCAAATACCTCAGTTATCTAGCAAAAAGGGTGAAAGTCAGGGTGGCTTGGTGCAAATTAAGCCCCTTTGCTGGAAAACCACCCGGAAGGTATGGTCTGATGAGGGAAAATTATAGTAACGCCAACTACACGTGAAGAGGTTGATAGACGGAGAAGTTAAACATGCCCATGTAGCATTTATTAGCTATGAAGTCGAATGATCTCTTCCACTGGACAGATGGATGGTTAATTATTTACAAAGCGCAAAAACAGTGAATATGTTTTAAGAGGGAGAAAATACTGAGGTTTTCTAACTAAATGATGCATGAGATTATTATTAAGAAACATAAAGAACTTAGTTGAGAAGGAAAGACACTTTTAGGGATGGGGAAGCATAGGTTCAGGTCTTGCTGGAGAATTAACACAGAACAGGTAGCTTCTGGGTGTCCTTAAAACACTCCCTTCTCCACTAGGTTCTGGATTCCAACATGCACATCTGTATAGCAAATCGTGTCTACTATATAGAAATCACCAGAAAATACTGCCCTACTGTTTTTTCTCTTTCTCTGCCCCATAAGATCAGCAGGAACCCACTCTAGTGGGTTTCACCTAGTTTTATAAACTAGTTTTCAGTTTTATAAACTGTATGTGTCATCATTATCTTGAAGGCAGGCATGAAGCCTCGTGGCCAGCATCCACCCCTCTCCAGAAGTAGGCTCTGAAGTTTGGGTAGGGAGGGGACAGCCGCCGCCTACAGTAAAGACCTTACAGTGATCGGGAAACAAGTTTTCACATAACCTCCCACATCTCTGTATTTCCCTCTCTCTGTTTCGAGACAGGGTCTCGCACTGTTGCCCAACCTGGAGTGCAGTGCAATGCAATCACAGCTCACTGCAGCCTCCTTTGACCTTTTGGGCTCAAGTGATCCTCCTACCTCAGCCTGCTGAGTAGCTGGGACTACAAGTGTGTGCCACCAGGCCTGGCTAATTTTTCATTTTTTGTAGAAGCAGGGTCTCATTATATTGGACTGATTTTAGACACCTGGCTTTAAGCAATCCTCTCGCCTTGGCCTCCCAAAGTGCTGGGATTACAGGTGTGAAACATCACCCCTGGTCTTTTCCTCTCTCTTAATATAATCAAGTCCTATCTAGAAAACCACAAGAAAGCATAATTACCTGTGGAGTGAGATTGTGAAGAACCAGCCAGTAACTAGGACGAACTGAACCACCATCACTCCAGGTAGAGGCTATGAGCAACCAGAAAAATGGTTAGGAAGAGAGATTAAAAAAAATTCAAGAAAGCCATGAGGGAAAAACATTTTCATGTAGCCCACATTTCTTCTCTGCTGTTATAAATTGTCTCTCTTTTCCTCTGGACTCTGATCCCTTTTCTCTTCTACTGGTCCCTGACTCCTATGCACTATTATGCCTCATTTGCAAGACAGTATTTTCCTCCCAGTGTTCTCACTCTGCCATTTTTACTCACTCATTTCACTCCATCTGTCCCTTGGGAATTCTTGGGTCCCTTTGTCTTATACTGACTACGACTTTCACTCAAGAGATAGCTTCTTCTCTATCAGTAGAAAAACCAGACAACCATGACTTCCTCTCTTGGGAAGACCTCTCAGTGTCTTCACCATCTGTGTTAACATAAGCCCCTTGCGGATGGACAATGGTGCTCCTTTAGGAAGATCCTCCTCACCCGAGGCGAGCCGCGAGTCCTGTGTCCCCCACCCCCTGACTGATCGGGGTGCTGTGCTGCTCCAGGGAGATGATGGTTTGGGGTTGGTCAGACCAGGAGGTGGGCGGGGCAGCGGTGTAGTGTTCCTGGAGGAAATATGGTTTTTCCACATCTTGTTGGAGAGATGAGTGGGGTTGTGTCCTATGGGATCCGGGGACCATGTTGATTTGTAATCAGGGAACTTTGCTGTAAGAAGAGAACATTAAGGAAGGAAAAAGGTTAGATGCTTCACTTCTGTTGACAAATACACATGAGTTTTAACTACATTCACATAAATACATACACATTCATATTCTAAGGAGTAACAGTACACATTTTAAGCATAGCAATACAAAATAACTCTGTTCTTTGAGCATAATGAACAGAAAATTTTCAGTGACTACTACTCTGAATTGATAGAATTATCATATGAATTAAAGATTTAATAAGATAGCTAATTCTCTACTGCTTTCTTAGCTAAAAATGACTGGAAAAGGAGGATGCATTCAAGGAGAAAGTCTTCCTAAAGACACCAGATTCTGGGTAACAGTGAGATGTGAATCCTAGCAGAACTAAAGTATTCTATAAATACTCATTGACTGAATGGAAAGTAATTAGAAAATTACACTTGTGCCTTGATCCACCATATTAGATATTGATGTTCAAACAGATTCTTTAAAAATAATCAAGAAATATTCACTAAGGGCTTACTATGCATATAGCATTAAATCAGTGCTGTGAGTAATATAAATAATTATCCCCAAGAACCTCAAGCTCAGATGGGAAGGCAGAACAGATGAGCAACAGAACTGGTGACCCCAACATCATCACATATGTTCAATACGCAGAGGCGATCAAGAATGCTGGGCTTGCAGCAAAGGCTTTACAAGGACAGCTCTTGAAGGAGTTACATAAATGGATGGGCATAAAGAAACAGGAAAGCATAAGCCAAGGTTCAACATAAATTCTCTCTATATGGAATATGATCCCCCTCAATTTTGGTTGAACAGTTCACAGAGGCAGAGAGGTAAAGGAGGTTATAAAGGTAGGCTGGGGACTCCTTAAGATACTATCAGTTTTTTGCAACTGATTCAGCATGGAGTGTTTAAACTACTGAGATAGCAAACAGAATGGAACAGAGGAATGGATATATGAAATATGATTGCAGAATAAGCCACTAAAGAGAAGTCATCACTGCCTGGGTCCAGGAATTGAGGGAGAGAGGAAAAAGGAAGAAAATACTGAGAGTACCTAAATAATGCATGAGATCATTATTAAGAAACATAGGCCAGGCACGGTGGCTCACACTGCTCTCGAGGCTAAGGCAGGCGGATCACTTGACTTCAGGAGTTCAAGACCAGCCTGGCCAAAATGGTAAAACCCCATCTCTACTAAAAATATAAAAATTAGCCATGTGTGGTGGTGGGCACCTGTAATCCCAGCTACTCAGGAGGCTGAGGCAGAAGAATCACTTGAACCTGGGAGGTGGAGGTTGCAGTGAGCCAAGATTGCTCCATTGCACTCCAGCCTGGGCAACAACAGCAAAACTCCTTCTCAAAAATAAAATAAAATAAAAGAAAGAAAGAAAAAAACATAAAGGCCGGGCATGGTCACTCATGCCTGTAATCCCAGCACTTTGGGAGGCTGAGGAGGGCGGATCACCTGAGGTCAGGAGTTCAAGACCAGTCTGGCCAACATGGTGAAACCCTATCTCTGAAAAAAAAAAAAAAAAAAAAAAAAAAAAAGAATGAACAAACAAACGAACGAACGAACGAACTTAGTTGAGAAAGAAAGACACTTTTGGGGGTGGGGACTATAGGTTCAGTTTTAGACAAGTGGGAGGTGATTCTTGGGCCATTTCTCAGGTGAATTTCCAATTGTTGGAAAAAGATACATAATTCAATCTGTGATGTGGGCATTTACAGGAGTAAAAGAGTTGGGTAACCAGACTAAGTTTTTTATATGTAAAAGAAATCCTACAAAAGTAAAATGTATTCAAAACATGGGATATTGAGATGTTTTCTTTACTTGCTAGGAACTGAGGCAAGTTATATCAGCTCTTAGAACCTCACTCAGTTTCTTTATCCACAAAATAGGGGTAATATGGCCGGGTGCGGTGGCTCATGCCTGTAATCTCAGCACTTTGGGAGGCCGAGGCGGGTGGATCACGAGGTCAAGAGATCGAGACCATCCTGGTTAACAGGGTGAAACCCCGTCTACTAAAAATACAAAAAACTAGCTGGGCACGGTGGTGCGTGCCTGTAATCCCAGCAACTCAGGAGGCTGAGGTGGGAGAATTGCCTGAACCCAGGAGGCGGAGGTTGCAGTCAGCTGAGATCGCGCCATTGCACTCCAGCCTGGGTAACAAGAGTAAAACTCTGTCTCAAAAAAAAAAAAATAGGGGTAACAACAGGACTTACTCATAGCCTTTGGTGAAGGTAAAATAAAAATTTGTGTGGAAGGTTTAGCATGATGTCTGGCCTGCGGGATCATTCAGTGAGTGGTAGATTATGGCTGCGCTACTGATATGACACCAAGGGGGTTAGAAAAATAAGACAGTCAGCAGCCCACCAGTCTGTAGCACCTTTATAGGTGGCTAAAGGTCTTTATTTGCTTATGTGCTGGGTAAAGCACATAATGCTTTAACAGCCTAAGGTCCAACTTTTGCTGAAGCTGGCAATACTGAAGGTGCCAATACTAATATGTCTACCTATCAGAAAGGCACTGTGCTGAGTGAGTGACTTCAATCCCTTTTTTTTGAGACGGAGTTTCACTCTTGTTACCCAGGCTGGAGTGCAATGGCGCGATCTCGGCTCACCGCAACCTCCGCCTCCTGGGTTCAGGCAATTCTCCTGCCTCAGCCTCCTGAGTAGCTGGGATTACAGGCACGCGCCACCATGCCCAGCTAATTTTTTATTTTTAGTAGAGACGGGGTTTCACCATGTTGACCAGGATGGTCTCAATCTCTAGACCTCGTGATCCACCCGCCTCGGCCTCCCAAAGTGCTGGGATTACAGGCGTGAGCCACCGCGCCCGGCTTCAATCCCTTTATTATATCCACTAACTTTTCCATTTTCTATTGTCTTTCAAAAAACATGAACCTACCAAATGATGGTAAAATTAATCAAGGTCCTCTTTCTATTTTTTCCCCTTTGGCCATCTGCCCCTAGCCTTTGTCTTTAAGTGGGAGGATTTTTAGAGAAAAGCCAACGATAATTGGCTACTTTAGGAATAACTGGTTCTTCTCATGACCCACGATTTCTTGGCAGCCTTGTTAAAAGAGAAGCATGTGTGTCATTAGGACATGACTCCAGCCCTCTAAATATGCCAGCTCCCTGCAGTTATATCACTATTGGCTTCATCCCAAAGTTGTATCTGCCTCATCCTCCCTGAGAGTAGAAGTTCCTCAAAGACATAGAAAATATAAAAGGTGTGCTTCCCTCGATCTGACCTATGCTACTGAACTGTCACAGTATACCTTAGGAAATACATGCCAATTTCCTTTATAAAAGGGAACCTGACAAAAAAGTGCTAACCAAAGGGACACAAAAAATTTACGCTCATACCTGAAGTGCTATGAACGTTGGTAAAGGAATTGTCAGAGGCACTGTAGGGCCAGGCACCAGGTGAAGGCAGCGAGGTGTTGAGGGAAGAATTAGACCCTTGGGTAACAAAGAAGAAGAAAATACTGAAGATAAATGTTGGTATAACCAGTAAAACCTTGAGAGTATTTTATTTAAACTTCAACAGGCTAGAGGACAAAATATGTCTGACAAATAAAGGTGAAAAGCAATATTCTGACTTTTTTTTGGTTAAACTTTTAGGTACCAGCAAGTACAAATGAAGTCACAGACTGACAACTAGGAAAATGCTGGGTGTTGAATATACAAGAGATGCTTTGCTCAATTACCTGTGGTGTTATCCCGCAGCAGTTGGTGGTCAGTATCTACAATGGGAGATGTGGCTGTACCCCCCAGCACACTTCCTGGGGTGACATAGGGGTCAGACTCAGGGTCAATGTTTTGGATACCTTTCCATGGCACTCCTGGTTGGAATTCTGAGACAAGGAAAACAAATATTAGAGCAGGAAGGTTGTTAAAAAAATGATACAGTATTTTCTTAATATAAGAAATGGGTCTGTGAGTCTGGGCACGATGGCTCATTTCTGTAATCGCAGCACTTCAGGAGGCCAAGGTGGGAGGATCACAAGGTCAGGAGTTTGAGACCAGCCTGGCCAATATGGTGAAACTCTGTCTCTACTAAAAGATACAAAAAGTAGCTGGGCATGGTGGGACATGCCTGGAGTCCCAGCTACTCAGGAGTTTGAGGCAGAAGAATCACTTGAACCTGGGAGGTAGAAGTTGCAGTGAGCCGAGATCATGCCACTGCATTCCAGCCTGGGTGACAGAGCAAGACTCCAACTCAAAAAAAAAGAAAAAAGAAAAGAAATGGGTCTGCAAAAAATATAAATATTGAATTTATATACTGATTTTCATCACAAAATTAAGGAAAAAAAAAATCAGCATGAACATATACTCCTGCCAACAGCACATTTGTGTTATTAACTGTCTGTGGGGTGAACTTGAAGCCACAGCTCATGCCTGGCCCTGGTAACCTGATCCTCCTGCTCCCAGGAGACTTCAGGCCTGAAGGCAGGAAAAGCAGGAGTAAGAACTCTGGTGTTCCTAAGAATTATCCAAGCATCTAGGCCAAGAACCGGGTGAAAATATGGACTAGAGATCAGTGTCCTTTCTCATTTTCCTTACCAGATGTTGGCCAAAATGCAGAAAGTGTAATACAAATGCAAGATGGAACGTCCAGGGATAATTTAGGTTAGCAAAAGAAAGCCTGGAATATACACAAAAGCTCAGAATTTTTTTATTGGTCAATTTAAATCATTTAAAAATTTTAAAGCTATGTGACAGAATAAACTTTCATTTTCCCAATTGTTAGGAGAAAGAGCAACGTGTACCATATATGAATGATTTACATTATACAATTTTACTCTAATAAAATGAAACTATACATATTTGTGTCACAAATATGTATGCACAGAAAGAGGTCTAAGAGGACATATATTTATGGAATTACTGATTTTAATTTTTGCTTTATTAAATGTTCCAATTTTTCTATCATGAGAATAGATTACTATGTCCAATAAAAGAGAGGGAGAGAGAAAAAAATTAACAAATAATTTCACTGCAATCACTACTGCATTCTTAGAACCTAACTGATAATAAATACTTGCCTAAGAACTAACAAATCAATTCAACAGATGCTTCAAAAGAACCCATGTTACAAGGCATCCTATGCATGGGACAAATGCCAAGGCCCAGCTACAATGTCACTTATCTCCAGATTCCCCATCTAACGAAAATCTTCTATCTTCCCATAGCACATGCCTTGCTTCTAAGAGATAATTTTTTTTTTTGAGACGATGTCTTGCTCTGTCACCCAGGCTGGAATGCAGTGGTACAATCTCGACTCACTGCAACCTCTACCTCCCAGGTTCAAGTGCTTCTCCTGCCTTAGCCTCCTAAGTAGCTGGGACTACAAGTGCGTGCCACCATGCCCAGCTAATTTTTGTATTTTTAGTAGAGACGGGGTTTCACCATGTTGACCAGATGGCCTCGATCTATTGACCTCGTGATCCACCCGACTCGGCCTCCCAAAGTGCTGGGATTACAGGCGTGAGCCACGGCACCCGGCCTAACAATTATTAAATGAAAAAATGAAAGCAAGTGCCTTAGTAACATGAGTCACAAAAGCAATGTATTCTGAAACTGAAACTGATAATTACAAAACAAATGCTATCCTAGAAAAGCATTTCCTGGACAATACCTGGAGGCCAACTGGCATTGCTGGATTTACTTCCGATTTTATTTGTTGGTGGAGATTTGGCAGGTAACCAGCTATCACCAGCAGGACCCGTATGGCCACCCAGTGTGTCACCAGGGATGATATCAAACTGGTTGTACGGTGACCCTCCCCGGGTCTTACCAGGGGCCACTATAGCGCCTGAGAAAAGAGAGGAAATTAATTCATCCAGAATAACTCCTATGAATGGAACTTGTCTATTTTTTATTCATTGGAACTCAGTCTTCTGAAGCTGATGGAGTACATACAAACAGCACTGGAGTAAGAGGTTGCATTAGAGACTCAGCTCATAATTACTAAGCAGCAAGACCATGAAGAGGTCGTTTCACCTCTCTGAGCCTCTCAGTTCCTTATTTAGGCACACAGAATTGTTCTCATTGAATGTTCCTTTCAGTTTTAAAATTCCATGGTCTTATGAAATTAATGAAATGTTCACAAACTAGCAATCTTATCATTATCCCTAGTTTCTATGCTAATGACCCGAGTGAGAAATGGGGAAAATTCTAACAATCTGTAGCACATAAGAAGGTTTAACTAAATTTCTACTGATGCCACCCACCCAGGTTCTTAAGGGCTGGCTGATCAGGCTTAGATTAGCTGGAAGCAGCAGTATAAACAGAGAGTCCATTGGAGAGAAAAGCATCTGCAATTGCTTTAAATTCCAAGGCAATGAGATGGAATTCCCGCCTAGGGTCTTTGCCAGCATAAGACCAGCAATGAACTCTGCAGCTCTGGGATCCATGGCCTCACACATAAAGAACAGCAAATCCTTTGTAACTGCTTTCCTGAGAGCATTTCAGTGGTTTTGCCAGTGCCCCCAACACGCATTTTATATGCTACAGGGCAGGAAAATAATTAAAAGCTTAAAATTGCCTTGAACTAACAAAACATGCATTTTAAATAAAATGTTAGGCGTCAGTGAGATACCAGTCTATGTATTTCTCAAATGAATTTTACATACTGTATCGGGTCACTTGACCTATTCTTAGAATGCTGCTTGTGAAGGGATAAAATTATTTCCAGGGTGATGCAGCCTAATAGGATTATTACCAAAACTATCTCCATGTGTAGCTAAGAGGACATTTGCTTTTCTGGAGCTTCTGACAAATCTGGCTCAGAGGCACATTATGGTGAAGCAGTGGAAAATGAACAGTTCAATTACATTGGGGATTGCTAAGGAAATGTGAAAACATGATCTATAAGCTCTAAAAAGGCAAGTAGAGATTTTGTCTTCGAGATATCCTCTCACGTGCCATTTCCTACTTATTATCATACACCTTTCATGTCTTTGAGGACAAGCGGACCAGGTGAATCAACAGCCTAAGGAAGCACTGAAAGTGCCCAAAGCTATAGCTGACAGTGGGCTTGGATTATTTCATCCACAAACAGATTTTACAATGTCAATAAATCATTTTTGTCTTCATGTCATGAAACCAAATGATAATATGCTGAGGGATGGCAGGCAGGGAACTTCATGTGGCTATTTCACCAGCCTCCTGGATGGGCTTATTAAAGAGTGGTTTATAAAGGAAACCTGAAAGTCTTCAGACTGAATGACTTGGCTGGGGCTGAGGCCTGCCAGAACGCTGCAGCAGGAACAGCCAGACACCTCTTTATACTTGGTTCTCATGGATACAGTTAAGTCCAAGTGAATTACTGTCAAGTGAAACAAACACTGAAACAAAGGCTGAAGGAAGGTTCTGAGACATTTTATCTGTTTTACAGGGAAACAGAGAAGCCCTTACAGAGAATAATCAAGAGGAAAAGCCGACCCACATCACAACCAAAGCCTGCAATGCCCTTAAATGCTGTCTTGCAGACACTCTAATTCACACAGAATAAGAAAGCTTTGTGAAAAGTTCAAATCTCATGTATTATGATCTATCAGTCATCCTTTGAAGATTAAAAGGCAGGACACTTTTTTTTAAAGCTGATGAACTTAATTTGGTTCAAATAACCAACAAGATCAGTATTTGTTATGATCCCTTGCTCTGTAAAACAAAGCAAAACAAACTCAACTCAACAAGCTGACTCTGCTCCCTCAGCCAACTTATTAGGGTTTCACCTTGGTGGGTGCCCAAGTTCACTGCTACCACCCTCAATCGTGGTAGCTGAAAAATTCTGCTCTCCTTAATTAGAACTAGCACTTTGTATTTCTTATGATTTAACATACATATGACTCTGTCCTTCCTCCATAGGCGATCACAGGATTCAGGAAGAAAACAATACCAAGAGACTCATTAAGAAAAAAAGCTAAAGTTCTGTACTTCAAAACAGTATTATAGGACGTTTCATCAAGACCTGCTGAGGGTTGGGGCTCTAGCTCTCAGTGCTTCTCTTACCATTTTTGTGCATATTGGCTTCCTGTGTGGCTACAGAGGGCAGCCCCTCCATCATGGAGGTCCACTGTTTAAAGCGAGACTCAGTTCCAGTCTCCTTCCCACCAACCATGCCATAGTCCATGCCGCCAGAGCTGAAGCCTAAAAAGGAGAAGACCACATTTTATAAGTCTCTAGCATCAGTAACAAGAGTTCTGAAGCAGGCCCCACGAATGCCTTCAGGTGTCATTCAAAGACGAATTCACCAAGTTTCTCCATTCAGAAACAGGTATTTTTGATTCCAAGTTTAGATCTTGGCTCTTGCTTCCTAAAAAAGTGATGTCTCTCTGTGAAGGTATTAAGACGTGTATGACTGCCATGGATTAGCTCCGTCTCAGTACATTCCTGCACGCCCTTTTTCTTTTTCATTCAGCTGATGTATGTCCCAAGCAGGATGCTGGGGCTAGCCACTCTCCAACTGAGATAGGGAAGACTACATCCAACCAGTGTAGCCCAACAGCAGTGACAGAGCTGTCATTAGGGAATCTTGGGGAAAGAGAGGCTTTGCAGAAGGGACATGTGAGCTAGGGCCTAAGGTAGGTATTTGGGGAAGTCAAGGAAACCAGTTACATATAGGGAATGGTGAGAGATTCAAATGACTCCAATGTTTAGCTAACTCTGGGATGAAGGGAGGTGGAGAGTGGTCGGGGTGTGGAGAAATGAAGAGTCATGTCATGTAAGGTCTTTATATATTAGACCAAGGAATAGGAATTTTTTTTTTCTCTAAGACAAGAGATAATAGACATTTTAAGCATGTGAGAGGATAACTAATAATGTATTTTAGGAAGAGAATTGGCAACCTTGTGATGAGTGGAGGTCAGGGCAGAATCTGAAAGATAAATTTGAAAGTAGTCTTTAAGCAATAGGGAAGACCCCAAAGCTTGAATAGGTGAGTAGTTAAGAGTTCTCAGTTCACTTTGCCATGAGCCCCAGGTAAGCTTCAGGGGAAGAGTCTTGGGTAACCTTCTCCCACTACACTGAGCTGGAGAGCTGGAAGCCACACAGCTGGATAATGGAGTATAAAAGGATCCATCATCCATTTGGGTCAGAATATATGCGACACTTGCTCATACAAACTCTCAAAAAAAGTAAAATAAAGGACTAAAACAGATGAAACAGGGAGGGGAAAAACAATAAATGACCACAGAAAAATGAGAATGAGCCACAGGAAGTGCAGAGCAGCAGCATTAACACAGGCACCCCAGGGAGGTGAGCAAGGCTCCCACCACGGCAGAGCCAACCTACCCTGCCCCAAGACGTGTAACTCCAGCCAGGCCAGACTCCAAAATGTACCCACGGCGGGTCCTTAGTTTCCATCTATCCAAATCCCACTGAGGGCCCAGGTTGTGTTTTTCTTCCCCTGTGCTTATTTTGGTCGTCTGGGATAGTTTAATCATGTAAAAAATCTAACACCTTCCTGACCCATGTTAAAAATGTTGCTATTTATAAAAAGAACAGAGTTCTTTCATACTTTGTAACTGAATTTACTAGTTCAAAATGCTTGGTGGGTGGGGGTGGGGAGCAGAAATCTTTAGAATGAGATGAAAATATTTCAAATGAAATTATTATTATTTTTTGGAGATGGAGTCTCACTCTGTTACCAGGCTGGAGTGCAGTGGTGTGATCTCGGCTCATTGCAACCTTGGCCTCCTGGGTTCAAGCAATTCTCCTGCCTCAGTCTCCCAAGTAGCTGAGACTACACGCACATGCTGCCACACCTAGCTAAGTTTTTGTATTTTTAGTAGAGTCAGGGTTTCACCATATTGTCCAGGATGGTCTCGAATTCCTGAGCTCAGGCAATCCACCCGCCTCAGCCTCTCAAAGGCTGGGATTACAGGTGTAAGCCACTGCGCCTGGTCTTATTTTTTAAAGAAGAGTTTGGGGCATTTTTTTCTTTCTTTCATCCCAGGTAGCAGAAACAGATTGGAGGGCACGGAAGTTGTAAGGAACAAAGGTTTTCTCTGACATAAGCCTTAATGACCTGAACAGGTTGCTCCTTGAGTAAATTACACTTCTGCCTTTGAGAAAACCAGGCCAAGGTGCTTGGATTCCAGGCCACCTGAAAGCTCAGTTCTAATCACTGAGAAAGAGCTTTTGGAAATAACCTAGGATCTGGCAAAGATTAAAAAGAATGCTAACATTAATAAGAAGAGGAGGAACCATTCCTTACACATTAATTTTCTTTGAAGTTATTCTAAAATTTTCTGTAAAACCCATAGTAAATTAAATTTCTTTAATTTTAGCTACTTAAGAGTTTTTTTCTGGTGACAAATGAAATGCAGAAAATTAAAGAGTTATAGGAAAAGGGCAAAAAGGCCAGGTGCAATGGCTAACCAGCACTTTGGGAGTCCAAGGCGGGCAGATCACGAGGTCAAGAGATCGAGATCATCCTGGCCAACATGGTGAAACCCCATCTCTACTAACAATAGAAAAATTAGCTGGGTGTGGTGGTACGCACCTGTAATCCCAGCTACTAGGGAGGCTGAGGCAGGAGAATTGCTTGAACCTGGGAGGCGGAGGTTGCAATGAGTCGAGATCTTACCACTGCACTCCAGCCTGGGTGACAGAGCAAGATTTGTCTCAACAAAGAGAAAAAGGGGAAAAAAAGAAAAAAAAAGAAAAAAAAAAAAAGAGAAAAAGAAAGAAGAGGAAAGAAGGAAAGGAAAAAAAATGAAACAAAGAAAAAGAGAGAAAGAAAAAGTAAGCAAGCAAGGAAAGAGCTCAGCAGCTCCATGAATCTTTGGGAAAGTGGGCACCTGATTCATTAGAGACTTGGGGATCAAATGCCACCACAGTAGGCCAGTCCCAGCACTGGTTCACAAGGTCTGGTCAGGAAAAATTATTCAAGGGGTCAGAGAACAAATAGGTGAGGAAATTGTCTTGAAAGGTTCAAACTATAAGCCTGAAAGTATGAGAAGAAAAATCAGGTGAAGACGTATATAATTTTCTTTGATGTCACGTGGTAACTGGCATGACACTAAGATATGGCATGTGTCGGACGGATTTTGATGGAAGGAATTTTGGGGCACTGTGCTCTAGTGGCTGCATTAACAAAGAATAGACGGTGCTTTGCTAGTGACCTTTAGTTATTTACAAACTATCGTACCTCTAAACCCTAGAAAATACTGACTTCATTGTACTTTCTATGATAGTAAAACTAAATTTCCTCAGTACAACCAAGTGGTTTCCCTGAAATTTCCAGTTCACAAACAGTGATTTAGCTCAAATTAAGCCATCTGGTTCAGTTCAATGAATATTTATGGACAGTCTAATCTCTGCCAGGCCCTGTGTTAGGAGATGAGGTACAAACAAAGATAAGACATGCCCCTTGCTTATCACCTGCTTTTATCATTCTTGCAAGGACAACCCTTCGCCTGCCTCATCTGTCCTTGGCAGAATTACCTTCTCTCATCTCCACACACCCTAATTCATGGTCTATGCACGAAAAACATTTGGTTCCATTCTTACATCCTTGAGGAAACACTCTTAAATTAACTTGTCCTTACACTGATCTTGCCTTCACTCTCTTTGTTTACAGTTCTGTTTTCTCCTCCTCTTTTTCCTATATATTAAAAAACAAACTACTGTTTTTATAACTATACTAATTATTTTTTAAAAATCACCCATAATTGGCCATCCTAACACAACTGCTCTAAATCCATGTCCACCCATACACCTGGTATTGATACAATCATAATTGCAGCATGGATACAATTACTCCTCTTCTGTCATTTTTTACAATCTCCAATAGTTACACAGCTTTAATTTTCACAGGGTATACCACACAGATAAATATTATAAATTTTGATAAATTTTAAACATCAAAAGTGAAATTTTATTAGAAATGCATTTTCTAAGAAGATGAATTACTTTGTTTCTAAATGAGTTCAGATATCCATGGTAACCAAGACTCCTTATTAACTAGAATGAGATAGAGTTTTCTCTACTGTCTTACTTTCAATTTTTTTGTTGACATAAAGCACTAAGAAATCTTACTCATATAAATAAGCAGATGGGAACAGAAGGAGTCTTGTTATAACATGAATTACTTCTCTGAATTTCTTTTAAAGTATACGTTCTTTGCCCTAGCCCAGTAACACAGATACTAAAATATAATTTTTAGATAGGTCATTATCACCTAACAATTTAATTCAATGAGGTATCTTTTCTTTTTTTGAGACAGGGAGTCTTGCTGTGTCACCCAGGCTGGAGTGCAATTGTGAGGTCTCGGCTCACTGCAAACTCTGCCTCCCAGAGTCAAGTGATTCTCCTTTCCTTATCCTTCCAAGTAGCTGGGATTACAGGTGCCCACCACTATGCCCAGCTAATTTTTGTATTTTTAGTAGTAACAGGGTTTACCATGTTGGCCAGGCTAGTCTTCAACTCCTGACCTCATGATCTGCCCGTCTTGGCCTCCGAAAGTGCCAGGATTGCAGGCATGAGCCGCTGTGCCTGGCCTCAATCAGGTATATTTTCTTTCTTTTTTTTTTTTTTTTTTCTGAAAAGGAGTCTCCCTCTGTCATCCAAGTTGGAGTGCAATGGCATTATCTCAGCTCACTGCAACCTCTGCCTCCCAGGATAAAGTGATTCTCTTGCCTCAGTCTCCCAAATAGCTGGGACTATAGGCAGGCGCCAGCTCAGCTTGCTAATTTTCGTATTTTTAGTAGAGATGGGTTTCTCCGAGGTGGTCAGGCTGGTCTTGAATTCCTGACCTCAGGTGATCCACCCGCCTTGGCATCCCGAAGTGCTGGGATTACCTGGTATGAGCCATGGCACCCAGCCTTAATTAGGTATATTTTCAATCCGCTAAAGGCAGAGAATTAGAAACCATCTATTTTACAAAAGAATCATTAAGGATTACTTAAACAGTCATTAGTCATTTAACTTCTTAATTTTGAGATAATGTAACAAAGGTTTTATCAAGACATATTAAGAAACTTTCGGGCTGGGGGCCGTGGCTCATGCCTATAATCCCAGCACTTTGGGAGGCCGAGGTGGGTGGATCATGAGGTCAAGAGATCGAGACCATCCTGGTCAACAAGGTGAAACCCCATCTGTACTAAAAATACAAAAATTAGCTGGGCATGGTGGTGCGCGACCGTAGTCTCAGCTACTCGGGAGGCTGAGGCAGGAGAATTGCTTGAACCCAGGAGGCAGAGGTTGCAGTGAGCCGAGATCTTGCCATTGTACTCCAGTCTGGGTAACAACAGCGAAACTTCGTCTCAAAAAAAAAAAAAAAAAAAGGAGGTATCCTTTTTAGTTCAACATACTTAGCATGAGGAAAACTGAAATACTGTTCATTTTATTACATCTTTGGCATTTAATTTTTTAGAAAAAATACTTTAATTTCAATATATGCTTTAAATATATTTTCATCAAGTAACTTATTCAAAACAGTCAAACTGAACTTTCGGTCCTAAAATGTATTTTTTTTTTAATTAAAAAAATAATAATAATAGTGGCTGAGGCTGGTGAGTTTTTTTTTCTTTTTGAGACAGAGTTTCGCTCGTTACCCAGGCTGGAGTGCAGTGGCACGATCTCGGCTCACCACAACCTCCATCTCCTGGGTTCAAGCAATTCTCCTGCCTCAGCCTCCCGAGTAGCTGGGACTACAGGCGCGCACCACCATGCCCAGCTAATTTTTGTATTTTCAGTAGAGACGGGCTTTCACTGTGTTGACCAGGATGGTCTCTATCTCTTGACCTCGTGATCCACCGCACCCAGCTGTATTTTTTTTTTTAATTTTATTTTTTCATCTCAGTTGACCTGTGTGAAGGAGACCTAAAATGTATTCTTTAATTCAAATAAATGTGATAATGCTAAATAAGGAAAAAAATATACATTTTTTTGAGACGGAGTCTTGCTCTGTCACCAGGCTGGAGTTCAGTGGCATGATCTCAGCTCACTGCAACCTCTGCCTCCTGGGTTCAAGCTATTCTCCTGCCTCAGCCACCCAGAACTGAGAATACGGGTGCACACCACCATGGACGTTTAGGAGAGACAGGGTTTCACAATATCAGCCAGGCTGGTCTTGAACTCCTGACCTCGTGATCTGCCTGCCTCAGCCTCCCAAAGTGCTGGGATTATAGGCAGGAGCCACAGCAACCGGACTATGATTTTAGTTTCTTAACAACTAACTGAGGAAATGATGTAGATGTTTTTCCCTGGGCTTTATCTGATCCATTCTGAAAATGTGTATTAAAAAAAGAAAATCAGTGTCACTAATAGATACTGTTCAAGCTGTTAGAGTACAAAGAATTGAAAAGAACTGTGTGCATTTAAATATGTGAAAGGCTGCTTCTGACTTTTAGAAACTCTTTGCACTGACTAGACTCTACCTTCAGAACTATGTACTCTTTGATAAAGAGGGATGAAAGAGGTAAGTCATCCTGCTTTATTGTCACGTTGTGTCTGAATTCAGGATAGCTCAACACATGCCAAGACATCCAGCCAACTTGATTAAGAAGGAAATCTGGCTGGGCAAGGTGGCTCACATCTGTAATCCCAGCAGTTTGGGAGGCTGAGGGGGGCGGATCATGAGGTCAGGAGTTTGAGAGCAGCCTGACCAACATGCTAAAACTTTGGCTTTACTAAAAATACAAAAATTAGCCAGGTGTGGTGGCGCATGCCTCAGCTACTCAGCAGGCTGAGGCAGGAGATTTGCTTGAACCAAGGAGGCAGAGGTTGCAGTGAGCCAAGATCGTGCCACTGCACTCCAGTCTGGACAACAAAACAAGACTGTCTCAAAAAAATAAAATAAATAAAATAAGGCCGGGTGTGGTGGCTCAAGCCTGTAATCCCAGCACTTTGGGAGGCCGAGGCGGGTGGATCACAAGGTCAAGAGATCGAGACCATCCTGGTCAAAATGGTGAAACCCCATCTCTACTAAAGATACAAAAAATTAGCTGGGCATGGTGGAGCGTGCCTGTAATCCCAGCTACTCAGGAAGCTGAGGCAGGAGAATTGCCTGAACCCAGGAGGCGGAGGTTGTGGTGAGCCGAGATTGCGCCATTGCACTCCAGCCTGGGTAACAAGAGCGAAACTCTGTCTCAAACAAACAAAAAATTAATAAAGAAATAAAATAAATCAAAAGGCCTGGGTGCCATGGCTCACGCCTGTAATCCCAGCACTTTGGGAGCCCAAGGCAGGTGAATCACGAGGTCAAGAGATTGAGATCATCCTGGCCAACATGGTGAAACCCCGTCTCTACTAAAAATACAAAAATTAGTTGGGTGTGGTGGCACACGCCTATAGTCCCAGCTTCTCAGGAGGCTGAGACAGGAGAATCACTTGAACCCAGAAGGCAGAGGTTGCAGTGAGCTGAGGTCTCGCCACTGCACTCCAGCCTGGGCAACAGAGTGAGCCTCCATCTCAAAAAAAGGAAATCTGGCATAGGACACCTTTGTTAGTAATCAACGGAGGCTCCCCGATGCTTGGTACCCTGGTGTTCTGCAGCCCAGATGAGCACACAGTAAAAAGACGTGGGATGACAGGAGAGCTGCCCTTCTTCTATGTCAAGTACAAGAAAGGTTATTTCAAATTTAAGTCAATTCGCAGGCAGATCACCTTTAAGAAAACAGGCCGGGTGTGGTGGCTTACGTCTATAATCCTAGCACTTTGGGAGGCCAAGGCAGGCAGATCACCTGAGGTCAGGAGTTCGAGACCAGCCTCGCCTACATGGCAAAACCCCACCTCTACTAAAAATACAAAAATTAGCTGGGCATGGTGGTGCATGCCTGTAATCCCAGCTACTCAGGAGCCGGATGTGGGAGAACTGCTTGAACTCGGGAGGTGGAGGTTGCAGTGAGCTGAGATCAAGCATTGCATTCCAGCCAAGGCAACAGAAAAGACTCCATCTCAGAAAAAAAAAAAAAAAACTGTTGGTGGAAGCTGAGGATCTACAAAGTAAATCCATTAAAATATCAAGCTCAAGAACACCTTGAAGTTTTGGCTCAACCTGTGTACGTGCAGTAGGAGAATCACAGAGTTGGCACAGTCAGCCGGTGCCATTTGTCCAGGGTCACACTGTCAGCTAGAACCAGCAATTTCATGTCTTCCCAACTCTTGTTTTTTTGTTTTGTTTTGAGACAGGCTAGACAGAGTACAGTGACACAATCTAGGCTCACTGCAACCTCCACCTACTGGGTTCCAGTGATTCTCCTCTCTCAGCCTCCCCAGGAGCTGGGATTACAGGCACGTGCTACCATGCCTGGCTGATTTTTGTATTCTTAGTAGAGATGAGGTTTCACCAAGTTAGTCAGGCTAGTCTCAAACCCCTGACCTTGTGATCGGCCTGCCTTGGCCTCCCAAAGTGCTGGGGTTACAGACTTGAGCCAGCGTGCCCAGCTCAACTCTTGTTCTTTGAGTGTGCATAGAATAGTCTATTTTCTACCAGATAAATTCTGAAGAATTTATCTTCTTTATCAAGATAAATTCTAAATGTTGTCAGTTTGAGGTGAAACTGTGGTGGTGTGTGGTATCTTTCCCATTTTAAAACTTTATTTTGAAATCACTGTTTCCTCCCTGATTAGATTCTGCTTGTAGCATGTTTTCCAGTTCTGAAAGAACTAGGATTTGCCTGCCAAAAAATTCTTGAAGAATGTTAAAGGCATAATCTTACTTGTTCTAATTCTATTTAAGTCAAATGAAATACTAATATCAGAGGAATTTTTATCAATCTGCATTACAATTTTAGTTCCTCATTTTTTTTCAGTAGAAGGCAACTTTATTTGAGTAGAGTAAAACACTTCAAACTAGTACATATTTTAACAGATCATAACCTCAGCCATGTGTGCCACTCATACAGCATGCACAAACATTTAAAGAGGCTTTTAAAAATTCCTGGTTGTAGGAGAGCAGTTTGCCATTCATACACGTGTATTAAAAGACTGCTCTGGAGCCAAAGAAATTAGAGGCCTGTCTCTGCTGTTTAGTAATCATGTGGTGAGCTTTGGAAACCCACTGAAACTCGAGAAGCCTCAGATGTCTCCTCTGTACACCAGGGGTAAGAATATTTACCTACCTTGTACGGCCTCCATAAAAACGGAGGGTAATGCAGGCGCAGCTCCTACCACAGGCCTAGACAGGCAGATTGCTAAGAAGGTAATTTTCTCTACTAACAACTTACCAGAACCATATCCAGGTATTGGCCCTTTGGTTTGAAGGTCTGGGAGCCCCACATTCAATGCGTTGGGTACCATGTTGTCCAGATGCGGCTTGGGCCCGACAGGATGAGAGGGTGAGTGCTTCATGCCTGGCTGCCTCTGCTGCTGCTGCTGCTGCTGCTGCTGCAGTGCACTCACCATTCGAGCCAGCTGGTGGCCAAGAGAGACGGACACGTGATAAGCACGGACCAGAATTTCCCAGGAGGAGACTGCGCCCGGTTCCTCTTTGCCATCAGAGGCTAAGCCGGGACATACTCCTCAAAGACAGCACTGGAGGGACCCTGCCCACCCATGTACCTGCTGCTCTTGCTGTTGGCGTACAGCTTGAGAAATCTTTCTCTGGTTCTGTAACAACTGCTGCTGTTGCTGCTGTTGCAAGAGAAGCTGACATGCCTATGAAACAAGGGGCAAAGACAGAGAACCAAAGTTTCCTGAGACTGATTTACTGAGAACACCTGGAGGGTCTGTGCACTGAAGTACAGGTCACACAGTCAAAAGCATCCAAGAGCGAAGTAACACCAAATTCCTGGTCTCTTGGTTACGTTTTCCTCCAGTTGAGCTGACAACCCTTAAGCACACTCCATAGCTGGCATAAAAGTGTAGACTAGCACCCTTTGAACACAGAAGGAGGCAAAGATGCAGGAAGCAAATCAAAGCTAAAGAAAGAAAAAAAGAATGACCCTTTTAACTACAGGAAGAAAATCTGCTACTTACCAACTGAAACTGGGGAATTTGTGGAAGCTGGCTCAGCATGGCGATTTGTTGAGGAGATAACTGGGGCCCCACATTGAAAAGACCTGGACTCAGGCCACTGCTGGGAAACTGCTTGAGCATTGAGGCAGAAACCTAGCCGAAAAAATTAAAAAGAAAGAAAGAAAAGGAATCTTTAGAATTTATCAAAATAAAACTTTTTTTCTGTGAAAAGAATCTTGATGAATCTAAAGCAAGCGTTGTCAAACTTTTTTGTGAAAAATATGTAACAGGAAAAACACACTGAAGTGTTAACAATGATTATCCTGGAGGAGTGCAATGACAAGAGTTGTTTTAAAATTTTCTTCTCAGACTTTCCAGTTTTCTACAATAAAAAGTATAAATTGGATATTCAGGAAAACATTTTCAAGGAAAAAAAAATTGATGACAATATGGCTTTTATCCAATTGAGAAATTATTACTGGAAGTGTGCCATAAAACAAAACATACTAAATTGCATAAAGCTAATAAATAATACTACGTGAAAGTATTTCTGTGATACAAATAAGACAAATATACTAACTTGTAAATAGGAGACTTAAGTTTCAACTCATGGCTTCTCACAGCAAACACCCACAGAGTGCCAGTGTAAAAAGAGAGCCAGCATAAAAGAGCCTGGAAGGGCCAGGTGAGATGGCTCACACCTGTAATTCCAGCGTTTTGGGAGGCTGAGGTGGGTGGACCACAAGGTCAGGAGATTGAGACTGACCTGGCCAACATGGTGAAAACCTGTCTTTACTAAAAATACAAAATTAGCTGGGCATGGTAGCGCATGCCTGTAATCCCAGCTACTCGGGAGGCTGAGCCAGGAGAATCGCTTAAACCTGGGAGGGTAGGTTGCAGTGAGCCGAGATCGCGCCATTACTCTCCAGCTTGGGCAAGAAGAGCGAAACTCCATCTCAGAAAAAAAAAAAAGACTTTTGTTCTAGAGGAAGACTGCCTGAGATTTTAATCCCAGCTCTGCCCGCCTCTCCATTTTTTTTTTTTTATAGACTGGGTCTCACTCTGTCACCCAGTCTGGAATGTGGTGGTGTGATCACGGCTCACGGCAGCCTTGACTGCCCGGCTGGTCTCAAACTCACGGGCTCAAGCCATCATCTCAAATTGCTGGGATTACACGTACGAGCCACCACTCCCAGCCCAGCTCTGCCATTTCTAAGCTGACTCAGAGCAAGTTACTTATTCAGCCTTTCTGACCCTTACTTTCCTGATCTCCAACTGGAATGATGACAATATTAACTTTAGTCATTATTAGATTTTATGAATTAATCCACATCAAATGCTTAAGAGATGTTTTCCATAAATGTTCACATTGTTCCACAGGCTGGTTCTTCAAATGTCTTCAGATGATGAATACATTTCCCTTGCGTCTCATCTTTAGGCTCAATATGATCAGTTCTTTCACTTGTATCTCCTTCCATTTCTCAGTGAAGAGCCAAGAACAGAAAGGCATTTTCTAGAGCAGTCTAACACCAAGCAAACCTGGCCATACCTAACCATTCTGTTAAAAGTCATGCTTTCACTAACAATGCCTAAGATGTCACTTTCTCTGGTGATCACAGCTGTCGATTCACAAACTAAGCTTAATGTCAGTTAAAATCTATGATATTTAAAAATATGCTTTTGTTCCCTTAAGTAATATTTAACCTATGTAGTGGGGTTTTAAGTTTTTATTAATTTATTTTTTATTTGAGCTTCATATCTTACACATATCTTTATAAGCATTGCATATAGTAGATGCTCCATAAATATCTATTAAATGAATGAACCTCTATCATATTTAACTTAAGACACTCCACCGAGTTCTTGTTGATCCTATGCTACCTATTTCCAGTTTGCGTTCCCCAGTCCCATCACGGATGGGAATGCTGAACTTGACAGAGCTGAGGATAATCTAGTCATATGCTACTAAAGCTTCCTTCCAATATGAAATGATCAGCTTGGGAATTGTCAATCATTTACTAATCCACCCAACTGCTTTCATGTTTAGCCAATATATTTCCATCTCGTCCAAAACAGACAGCTTGTCAAACGGCCTGTTAGAGATACAACAACTATATCATTCTTCTATGCCAGTATTTTTACCAGTCAATGAAAGGAGTGAATGAAAACTTGTTAGCAAACTATGATAATTAATTACTGTCATGTACTTTTGATAATCTAGATTATCAAAAGCAATCTTACTGATAATCTAGATTCTTTCCTGGAATTAGGACCAAGTTCATCAGTCTTTTAGCTACTTTTTCCTTATTTATCCTTTCAGAAATCATTTTAAAAATTTCCCCAGGCTGGGCATGGTGGCAAGTGCCTGTAATTCCAGCCACTCAGAAAGCTGAGGCACAAGAATCACCTGAACCCAGGTGGTGGAGGTTACAGCAAGCAGAGATCGTGCCACTGCACTCCAGCCTGGAAGCCACAGTGAAACACCATTAAAAAAAAAAAAAATTCCCCTTTCTTCTTGCTTGCTTATAGCTTCTTTCCCATTTCTGATCTGAGGCTCCACACAGAGGACATCCACGTTTATTTTAACACAGCACTCAAGGCCTCTTTCCCCTTCTTGGAAGCAAGCCTGGAGAGAGGACTGCCCCATTCCAGTGACTCCTGGTTAAGGCTAGAATTCAATATTAGGAAGTGCACATGTTCTCCAGTATCTGCTTTATTGGTAGTAAATGGGATATGGTGACCCCAATATGTTTTCCTCTTTTGCCTTAAACATTCAGAATGCAGGCAGGAAAGATGCGTGTCATTATTAAACTCCCCTTGAATACTCCCATAATTTCTCAAAAACTGTGGACAGGGCTCTGCAATTCTTTTCACGAATTCTTTCTCTGCTCTAGGATCTGTCTTAGCCCTTTGGTTTGAACATCCTTCTTCTTAACAGAAAAGACAAAAGGTAAAACAAAAATTTTACCTCCACTCTGTAATCCCTGGGCATTATACAACTAGTCCAAGGCAATGATTCCTTTCTAGTCACCAAACTGCACCAAATCAAACTCTAAAGGTTCTTTTAATCTACCTACTTTTTGCAAGTCTCAGCTTACTCTGTGTTTTATTCATCCTTGCTTTTATACCCTTACTATCCATTTTCTGAAAATGTCCCATTATAAACTAAGTTTATCAGAAAGCTTCCCCATCCCCATTGGATCTTCTCATTTTATCATTCTTTGGCAGCATGGTCAGAATGAAATTCCTCAGTTTCCTAATACTTTTGAGCCACCATCTCTGCTACATTGTCAAGAATACATGCCTATCTTTTCTTTTTTTTTGGGAAATGAAGTCTTGCTCTGTTGCCCAGACTGGAGTGCAGTGGCGTAGTCTTGGCTGACTCTAACCCCCACCACCTGGGCTCAAGTGATTCTCCTGCTTCAGCCTCCTGAGTAACTGGTATTACAGGTGCCTGCCACCTCCCCGGCTAATTTTTTTTTTGTATTTTTAGTAGAGATGGGGTTTGACTATGTTGGTCAGGCTGGTCTTGAACTCCTGACTGGTGATCTGCTGACCTCCGCCTCCCAAAGTGTCGGATTACAGGCGTGAACCACCACACCTGGCCTATCTTTTCTTTGACACTCTTGTAGTCTATAAACATTTGACCAAGTTCAGGTTTCCTGTATTTGGCTTACCAATATCTGTCACTTTCACTCTACCCATCAATTCTATCATTTTGGAAAGTACTCTAATTTCAAGTAATAGTTCCCCCAGCTGCTTCCTCTCTATCCTCTAAGAGATGCTGAGCATTACCAACGAATTTAAAAATCTGTTTAACTTTCTATTTTAACAGACGTACTCAAGGCAGACGTGAACACCAAGTAAGCACACCACTACAGGGCATGCTGCCTCTCCACCAGTTTTAGGGCAAGCATAAGGAACACATCCTCAACCATTTCCCCCAAATAACAACTCCTCTTCATCCTCTGCTTTGAATTCACACAAAATGTCACCAGTGTGACTGAACTTCCTATCTCTGATATAATAATTTTGAACTCACTATAAATTGAGTCTGGGGGCAAGGAGGGTGAGTACAATACATGCTGTGCTATCAAAACCATGTTCCAACAGGAATCTTACCCTATTACGCCTCAATGACCCATAAAATCCTATGTACCATCTTCGGTGTGATTCCTAAATTCATTTGAGTTAGCAACTGTATTTGGCTACATAGTGTTCTCCATAAATTCATGCCCACTGGGAACCTCAGAATGTGGTCTCATTGGGAATAGGGTCTTTGCAGGTGCACTCAAGTTTAAGACAAAGTCACATTGCATTAGGGTGGGCCCTAGTCCATTCACTGGTGTCCTCATATGAAGACAGAGAAGAAAATGCCATGTGAAGATACAGACACACAGGGGAGAACACTGGATGATGACAGAAGCAGACTGTGGTGACTTCAGACTGAAACCCTCCAGAACTGAGCTACAGTTGTTTTACTTATTTATTTATTTTATTTTTTAAGACAGGGTCTTACTCTGTTGTCTAGACTGGAGTGCAGTGGCGCAATCACAGCTCACTGCAGTCTTGACTTCCTGGGTTTAGGTGATTTTCCCACCTCAGCCTCCTGAATAACTGGAACTACAGGCATGCACCACCATGCCTGGCTTGTGTGTGTGTGTGTGTGTGTGTGTGTGTGTGTGTGTGTGTGTGTGTGTTTTGTAGAGATGGGGTTTTACCACAGGCATGCACTACCATGCGTGCGCATGTTTGTGTGTATTTTGTAGAGCTCGGGTTTTGCCATTTTGCCCAGGCTTGTCTCAAACTCCTGGGCTCCAGTGCCTGTCTCAGCCTCCCAAAGTGCTGGGAGTACAACTGTGAGCCACTGTGCCCAGCTTTTTTTTTTTCCTTCAGGTAGAGCAGACACTTTGGTCATAAAGAGACTTGCAGCACGCAAGTCTCTCACATAAAGTTAACTGCATTCTCCCAAAAATTCCACTTTTGAAATCATTCTGATATGCATCTTTCCATGACTCAATATATATTCACTGAGCTCAAATTCATGCCCTTCACAGCTATTGATGCTCAGGCTCCAGCAGTGAACAGAGCAGCCCCAGACCCTGCTGCTGTGAAGCTTATTATACTCCTAGGGGCAGAGCAGACAAGGATCA